AAAAAAATCAAGTTTAAAGTTGTCCAAATTAAGTTCTTAGCAATGCATATTACTAATCAAAAATTAAGTTTTGATATATCTACAGTAGGACATTTACAAAATATCTTCATGGAACATGATCTTTACTTAATATCCTAATGATTTTTGGCATAAAAATGAAAATCAATAATTTTGACCCATACAATGTATTTTTGGCTATTGTTACAAATATACCCCAGCGACTTAAGACTGGTTTTGTGCTCCAGGGTCACATATCATTACAATATTGTGCACAAAAGTGTAAGTGTAAGTTCTACAAATTTACCCTACCTACCTTGATATGTTGAATTGAGCTAAGTGGATCAGAACTAACTGCTTTACACTGGTAATTAATGAACTGAATCATTCTCTAACCGTCTCTCCCCAGGCAGTGGTGAATGAGATGAACAGGTTGGGAATGCTGGTTGATCTGTCCCATAGCTCATGGGAGACAACCAGAGCTGTGCTGAAACATTCTACTGTTCCGGTTATTTTCAGCCACTCTTCAGCCTATGCTATCTGTAACAATATTCGCAATGTACCTGACGAGCAGCTGCTGCTGCTGGTGAGACCTCCGTTTGTTTTGCTGCATTAGACGTAGTTCCCAAAGAAAAAAAAATCTCCAAAATGCCAGTTTTACTGAAAGAAAGACAGTAAAGGAAATGACACTTTTCACCCGTGTTTTGACAATAAAAAACTTTATTTACTGAAAAGAACAAACTCTGCTTTCTTTCTAGAAGGAAAATGGCGGGCTTATCATGGTGAACTTCTACAGCAGTTTTGTAGCATGTTCAAATAACGCAAACGTTTCTGTTGTGGCTGGTAAGACACTAGATTTCTTTGTTTTTTTTTATTTTAATTTATTTAGGCTTTAATTTGAAATGTATGTTTTTTTAGATCATTTTGATCATCTAAAGCAGGTGATTGGAGCTGAAAGCATCGGGATTGGAGCAGACTTTGATGGGGCACAAGGGTAAGTTAACATCTCATCTACATCTCATCTGTATTGACTTTACAGAATTTTTGTTTACACACTTCTTTGCTCTGTTTATTTGTCTAACATACCTCCACGGAATCCATGCTTGCAGAATTCTGCTGAAAACTTTGTAGATTTCTGCTGAATTTAAACACAAAAATTGTACATATCAATTTTTTAGCTATCAATAACATTGTAGTGCTCTCAGCACCAGTTAACACATTTTACAATATTTAAATCTATTCAGAAGAATTCATATCCCCAAGAACCACAAAGAAAAGCATGCAGATTATGCCTGTGACCCTTATCTGTCTGTGTGCAAGTGTTTATGCGTGCCTGTATTATTACAGATTCCCTAAAGGCCTGGAGGACGTATCCAAATATCCAGCACTAATTGAGGAGCTGATATCAAGGAACTGGACTGAGGAAGAGCTGGCGGGAGTGCTAAGACTGAACTTCCTCAGAGTGTTCCGAAAGGTTGAGAAGGTCAGGAAATTCATTCTTGTGTCCAGTTCCCAGTTCAATGAGGTCAGTTAAGATATGTATAAATCTTGGCCTCTTTAGGGCCAGTATAAATATACACCCACCCTTGCAATTGACATTAGTAAACATAACATAGCAAACATATACTTAACGTACATGATATGACAGGTTTCAACCACTGACCACTGGTCACTTTGCTCACAGTCAGCACCTGTGATTCTCATTTTGGTTTTCTGTAAATATCCCATCTCTTTGACTATTCTTTGTTTTTGGCATTGGATAACTCCATAAGACATCCCAGCTGAAATGTTGTCTGAACTTTCTCACACACATTCTTACATTATCTTGTTCCTCAGCTTCTTCCTTTCTTGTACTACAATGGTGATCTTTACAGCCAGATGGAAATTTCTTCCAGTTCCTTTCATTTTCCTCGAAAAAAACTTTTGCTCTTTGCTTTCAGTGATCCCCATTAATTTATCTGATCACATTACAGCCACTATCTTCCACCCTCAGCTAACCCTCTTCTTTTAAATTACAGTTGTTATTGCAACATCCACTTCAAAAAGCACCTCTACCTTACGTCTCAAATCTCCAAACAGACCAGAGAAAGTGTATCTGTTACATCAGGGCTGCCAACTCTCACGCATTTGGCACTGTTCTCACGCCACACTTTCAAAAACATTGGGAGTAAAGAGAACACTGAGAGTGTGCTGACTGGTGAGAGAGAGTAGGCAGCACTGTGAGACAGGGAGTTATTCAGACCAATCGGGGAAAATATATAACTTAATTGTAATTTATTTCCATGCATGCTGAATATTGTGTGAACGCAGGCAGGTCAGTGAGTTACGATTACGCTCTGTGTCTTAACTGAGTTCAGGTTAGTAATAATATAGGTAACTAATATATTCTGTATCCTACATAGAAATAAGCTAGTATTAGCAAAGTTTATTTTTTTGCACCATTGCAGCAGTTATTTTGTCATTTTATGATACAAACAGTACCAGTCCTCAGACAAAGTAGCACCACTGTCAGACAAAACTCTGCTGACAGGTTTTGTGTTTTTTTTAAGAATCCCCCCCTACTGGATTTCTTACTCTAAGCTGAAATGAGTTAGCAGCCCTGATATACATATAGTATACATATATATGACACCTTACCATCCAGTTCTTGATAATGTATGATAAGATTCCTCCTTATCCAAATGTCATTGCACTGGTTCAGCACATTTAATCGGATGAGATTTTATCAAACTGAATAACAAACTTTTATCAAACCCCTCCGGGCTACTAAGCAGGCAGCCTCGGCCATGGGCAGAGCGATGGCTGCTATGGTGTTGACGGAGCGGCAGTTGTGGGTGAACTTGGCGGACATCGGGAAGAAAGAAAGGGGCTTTCTTCTCGATGCCCCGGTTTCGCCCTCTGAACTGTTTGGCACCTCCGTTGAGACGGTGGTCGACAAATTCAGGGAGGCTAAGTCACACTCAGCAGCGTTCAAGTTCTTCATACCACGAAGGCCCAGGTCTGAGCCCGAACAAACCAGGGGTCCTGGCCCGTCTCGGTCTGAGGGTCAGAGACGGGCACAGAGGGCTAGTGTCGCGACTCGCGCCCCGCCTCCACCTGTGGGTGGGGGTAGGAAGTATCGTGGGTCGAGGGGAGGCAGGCGAAACCCGAGGGGTGAGACCTGGGCAAGGCACCAGCGCTTTCGTCCGGGTCAGAGTAATACCTAGGTATTCACTCTCTCCCGCAGGGGGTACAACATCTACCCTGTTCTCCCCTTCTTTCTAATTCCCCCTTCTATGACCACCATCTCCAGCTGACCGAGGTTAGCTGTAAAATAATTTTTCAAACAGTCTCCTACTGGGCCCATGATGTTTTTGGTGGTTCTATGGCCAGATCATAGTAACCGCCTGACTGTTGGTCCGGTCAAAAAATCCCCGGACAGAG